TCCTGATTTACAGCATCCGCAGTTCTTTTGGTTTTTATCACTTTGATGGGATTGTACTATAGGCATCCCCCCAAGAGTAAGAGGAAATTGAGAAACAAATATGTAGGAAGATCTCAGATATATATAAGCATAACGTTGTAATGATGAGGAATTGTAATTTCCCAAACATTGACTAGGACTACCATAATGTTAAAGGTTTAGATGGTGAAGAATTTGTCAAATGTGTTCAAGAAAATTTTCTTTGAGTATGTGGATGCTCCTACTAGAGAAGGAGCAAAACTAGACCTTCTTTTGGGCAATAAGGCAGGGCAGGTGACAGAAGTAAAAGTGGGGGAACACTTTGGGTCTAGAAATCATAATTCTATTAGTTTCAAAATGGTTATGGAAAAGCAAAAGCCTTCCATTACAGTTTAAGTTTTTAATTAGAGTAAGGCAAATTTTAATGTAGGAGACAAGAACTTCCAAAAGTTGATTGGAGTAGACTGTTCACAGGTAAAAGGACGTCCGACAAGTGGGAGGCATTCAAGAGTGTGATAAGAGGTCAGAGGCATTTTGTTCCTGTTAGAGTGAGGGGTAAGGCTGGTAAGGTTAAGAAACAATGGATGAACAAAGATATTGAGGTTCTAATCAAGAATAAAAGAGAATTTTATTTTAGATATAGACAACTTGGTTCAATTGTATCTCTTAATCAATATAAAGAGTGTAGGGGCATTCTTGAGAGAGGAATCAGGAAGGCAAAGAGGGGATATGAGATAGCATTGGCAGAGAAGGTTAAGGATAATCCAAAGAGATTCTACAAATGCATTAAAAGCAATAGGGTAACTGGAGAGAGGGTAACACCTCCAAGATCAAGGAGATCATTTTTGTGTTGAACCTCTGGAGATAGGAAGAGATACTAAATGAATATTTTGTGTCAGTTTTTAACTGTGGAGAAAGAAATGGAACCTAGAGAATGCAGAGAAATAAACTTTGATGTTTTAAAAACAGTTCACATTACAGAAGAGGAAATTTGGGAGGTCTTAGGGAATATAAAGGTGGATAAATCTCTGGGACCTACTCTAATGTATCCAGAACGATGTAGGACGTATGGGAGGAAATTATGAGACCCCTTGCAGAAATATTTGTACCATCTATAACTATGGGTGAAGTGCCTGATGGCTGAAGGGTGGCTAGTGTTGTACCTTGTTTAAGGAAGGTTGTAAGGAAAAACAGGGGAACCAGAGACCTGTGAGTTTGACTTCAGTTGTGGGTAAATTGTTGGAGGTAATTTTAAAAGATAGTATTTATGTACATTCAGAGTGGCAAAAATTGATCAGGAATAGTCAACATGGTTTTGTGCTAGGAAAATCTTGTTCTACAAACTTGATTGAGTTTGTTGAGGAAGTTACCAATAAGATTGCTGATGGCAGGGCAGTAGATGTTGTTTATTTTGATTTTAGTAAAGCCTTTGATAAGGTTCTGAAAGTAGATTAATTAGTAAAATTAGGTGACATGGGATTCAGGGTGAGCTTGCCAATTGGATACATAATTAGCTTAATGGCAGGAGACAGAGAGTAATGGTGGAGGGTTGACTTTCAAACCGGAGGCCTGTGACCAGTGGTATTCCATAGGGATCGATTCTGGGTCCTCTTTTGTTTGTCATTTATATAAATAATTTGATGAGAATATAGAAGACATGGTTAGTAAGTTTGCGGATGACACTAAAATTGGTAGTGTATTAGACAGTGAAGAAAGGTTTTCTAAATTTACAGAGGGATCTTGATCAAATGGGTGAATAGACTGAAAAACAGCAGCTGGAGTTCACTCTGGATACATGTGAGGTATTGTATTTTGGTACAACAAACAAGGGTAGAGCTTATACAATTACAGTAGTGTTGTAGAACAGAGGGACCTAGGGGTGCAGGTACATAATTCTTTGAAGTTTGCGTTGCATATAGACAGTGGGTAAAAAGGCATTTGGCATGCTTGTCTTCATTGCTCAGTCTTTTGAGTATAGGAGTTGGGAAGTCATGTTGAGGTTGTACAGGACATTGGTGAGACCTCTTCTGGAATGCTGTGTCGAATTCTGGTCGCCCAGTTACAGGAAGGATATTATCAAGCTGGAGAGGGTTCACAAGAGATTTAACAGGATGTTGCTGGGTATGGAAGGCTTCAGTCGTAATGAAAGGCTGGATAGGCTGGGATTTTTTCCACTGGAGCGTAGGAGGTTGAGAGGCAACCTGCTAGAAGTTTATAAACTAATGAAGGGTATAGATTGAGAAAAAACAACCACCATTAGCTCTAAGATTGGGGAGTTCAAGACTAGGGGGCACATTTTTAAGGTGAGTGGAGAGAGATGTAAAAAGGACATAAAAGAGGCGATTTTTTTTTTAAACTCAGAGGGTGGTTCGCATGTGAAAAGAATTTCTTGAGGAAGTGGTGGGGATGCGGATACAATTCCGAAGTTTAAAAGACATTTGGATAAGTACATGAATAGGAAATGTTTGGAGGGATATGGGCTAGAAGCAGGCAGGTGGGACCAGTTTAGTTTGGAATTATGTTTGGCACGGATTGGTTGGACCAAAGGGTCTGTTTCCATGCTGTGTGACTATGACTCTATGTAGTCCTGACTACAGGGTCTCAATGTCCCTGGCTATACTGTGTTGTTCAGCTGAAGATTCCCTTCTATGTAGCCTACTAACCAATACTGGGGCTTAGGTAAACAAAATGGGAAATAGTTCAATTTCCTGAACTATCACCTTTCATTTCGATGAGCACAAAGATTATGCAAGTTATTTATCAGAAATACATTATCAATTCCACTCAACTCACCAGGTTGATCCTGATACTCCAATTATGTAGGTTACACAGTCCAGGACATGTATCTGCTGTAGACCATGCAGAATACCATAAAGGGACGTCATTGCTCGAACTCCACCCCCTGACGCGAGGATTGCTATAACAGGCACCTGTAAGTTATAAACAGGATGAATCAGAATGCCATACAGGGATGCCACTTCTCCATCAGTGATCGCTATAATGGAATCATATAATTCCATGCACAAAAGGAGACCATTTGGCCACCTTTGAGCAAGTCAACTCTTAGACAGTTTTCTAATAAGTCCCAATCATCAAGTGAGGACTGGTCCATGGAAGTAGTTACCTTAAATTAAAAAAAAGGGTGAATTATGTCATCTGTAAATTTACTTGACATCATGACACACAACACTTTTTATCCACACAGTACTATACAAGCAAAATCTTGTACATTAAAAGAAGAAACAGGAGCAACTGTATTTTCCTGATTCTAATGAAACAAACTGGATCAAATACAAACATTTGATTGTTTTGATAAAAAGCACATAATTAAACATGTAAATAAGCAAAGAAAACATGATAAAACTTTATGATTCACTAATTAGCCTCCATCTGGATGCGACGTTTGTCCATTTCTGGGAACCATACTTTAGGATGAATGTCAAGGTTGGATAGAACATAACAAAAGTTTGTTGTATGAGCATGAACAAAAATGTTTTAGAAAGGCAACATTTGCTGAACTATGGAGAAAAACAGGGAAACTAATTGGATACTTCCCCCAGAAAACCAGCAGAAACTATCAACCAAATAGGTTTATTCTATATTTTGTAATGTTCTAGACAGTCTAAAGGCAAAAATAATAACTTAATCCAGAGAATGAGCACAAGTCCATGGAACCAGTTTGCTTAATAAAGGTAATTTTGGAAAAACAGGTGTGAAATGCTGAGTGATGGTCCAAAGACCTATGAACATACAAACTAACATATAAAATAGGAGCAAAATAGACCACTGCCTTTAGTAGAATCTGCATTTACATATCGTCTTTCATATGAACATAAAGTCAGAAGCATGAGTAGGCTATTTAGTGCCTTCAGCCAGCTCTGCCATTTCATAATGGTAAGGTTATGTCTGATCTGTTTGTGGCTTCAACCGCACTATCCTGCCTACCCCAACCATTCAACTCCCTTGCTACTGTTGAAACCATCACTATTTTTCTCATTTTTACACTGGAACGGAGATCTGAAGGTAGCTGGTACGAAAAAAAAAAAGAGGAGAGAACAAATGATGTTTGCTTTTGGGAACTGGCCTGGAACCATAATGCAGGTTAATTACTGCACTGTAGTCAATCAGGTTCTGGGATAAATCCATGCTCAGTGACTGACAGATGGTTTGAAGTTGAATTTGTCAGTCAAGGGAGGCCAAAGAGAATGTTTTTTAAAAAAAGTAAAGAGTGAACTGGCTCCAGATTTTATTTTTAAGCATGGACACAGCTTTGTTTTGGAAACTTCCGATTGAGATTGTTGTTTAGTCTTGGCTCTTTCTAGTTATTCTTCAGTTATCGACTTGGGGAAAATTCTGAGAAAAGAACCCCAGTCTGTAAGAACGAAGTAAAAGTTTCCAAAGATCTGTGGAAGCTATTTGCACTGACTAGTAACATCAGAGTTCAAGCAAGATATACAGTCTTATGTACCTGTTATACAACGCATCATCCAAGGATTTTATGAGGCCTAGTATCCATAATTGATATGATTATTGTGCTGGCAAATTATGATTCTTTAATACGTTTATCCCTCAACTGTGTCCGTCTATTGGTATGAGAGTTGGGGGGAGGATGGTATTTATGATTGATTGTTGCTTAGATTGTGGACACTAATTAGATAGCCTTGTAGTTTTATTTGTGTTCTGCTAATTGATATGTTAATAATAAATTGTTAATTTTTGTTGAAGTTATAAACTTGGTTTCCAAGATCTATTATTTGTTAAGTCTGGTCTGGGACAACTGAATAATTTGGAGGGTTACTAAATGTTTTAATTTCACTGTGTTGTCAATCCAGTGATAGTAAGGCTCATTGGTTTGGCTTGTTATCCCTGCGTCCTAACACTAATCAAATGTCTAATGCACATTCAATGGTCTTCCTCTACCACTAAGGAGAAGACAGTAAAACAGACTCAGAATCCTGTAAGAGAAAAGAATTCTCTTCATTGTGAACTCGAGACAAGAGACCTGGGCATTGACAGAGATGTCTCCATAAGGCCCCAGTGAAAGACTGGAACTTCGGGCCACCTCACTCTTGTACCAGCTGTCCATAGCTAATTGTCAGGAGGTAGATTTGGAATGTTCTCTGGCTGGGGGCTATGCAACCTATGTGACAGTCAGGGAGTACACTTCTTATTTTTGGGACCTTCTAAGAAAACATGAATTTGTAAACACTGACGTTTTGTTGACAAAGTCCCAGATTTGGTACTGGCATCAGTAGCTAGGTACAGTAGGAATCCCACTGCTGAACTGTGCTCTCTGCTCATTTCATGACTGAGAACTGGACCTCATGCACCCCAATTTCTACCCTAGGGAGTACTGGGCAGAAGTTCTGCTCTCTGTACTTCAAAGGCGATTTTAAAGAACTGGGGAAAACAGAGAAGATTCACAAGGATGCTACCAGAATTATAAGGAGACAACTGTTAGAAAAGAATGAGCAAGACAAAACCTTTCTCTGGAAAACAGAAGACAAAGAGTTGACCTAAAAGAGCTCATAGACTCAAGAGGCCTACAGCACAGATAAAGGACCTTCAGTTCAATTCCGGCTCGAAGGAGTTCCCACCTTCCTTCCATGACCAACCTTCCCTCTCATCCCCGCCTCCTTGACCTGACACAATCTGTCCATCTTCTCTCCCACCTATCCGCCCCAAACATCCCACTGACCAATCCACACCACTCCCAACCTGTACTCACCTATCACCATCCCACCTACCCTCCCAGGCCCCATCCCTCCTCTCTCTATTTGTTTCGGAGTTCCCTTCCCCCTCCCCGTTTCTGAAGAAGGGTCCCAACTTGAAATGTCAACTTTCCTGCTCCTCTGATGCTGCATAGCCTGCTGTGTTCCTCCAGCTCCATACTGTGTTGTTTCTGACTCCAACATCTGCAGTTTTTGCTATCTCTGACTGAATAAGCTGAGGCTATATTCCCTAGAGCATCAGAGGCTGAGGGGTGATGTTATAGAGGTTTATAAAGTCATGAGGGACATGGTTAGGGTAAATAGTCAAGGTGTTTTCCCCAGTTTGGGAGAGTTCCAAACTAAAGGGCATAGGTTTAAGGTGAGAGGGGAGAGATTTACAAAGGACATGAGGGGAAACTTTTTCATGCAGAAGGTGGTACACGTATGGAATGAGCTGCCAGAGGAAGTGGTAGAGGCTGGTACAATAACAACATTCAAAAGGCATCTGGATGGGTATATGAATAGGAAGGATTAGAGGGATATGAGCCAAATGCTGGCAAATGGGACTAGATTTATTTAGGATATCTGGTCAGCATGGACAAGTTGGACCGAAGGGTCTGTTTCCACGCTGTACATCTCTATGACTCTATGAGGACATCAAGTCTGTGCCAGTCAAAAACAAGCACTTAACTATTCTAATTCCATTTTCCAAGCGTTGTGTGCTTTGGAATCATAAGTGCACATCTAAATACTTTTTGAATATTATGAGAGTTTCTGCCCCTACTACTTTTACAAGCAGTGAGTTCCAGATTCCCACCACCATCTACACGTTTCCTCACATCCACACTAAACCTCCTGCCCCTTACATTAAATCAATGCCCTGGTCACCAATCCCTCCACTAAGGGAAAAGTTTCTTCCTGTCCACGCTACCTACGCCTCTCATAATTTCATATATCTCAATCATGTCACCCCCTCATTCTTTTCTGCTCAAAGGAAAACAACCCCAATTTATCCAAGAGAGATAGTAAGAACTGCAGATGCTGGAGTCAGAGATAACACAGTGTGGAGCTGGAGGAACACAGCAGGCCAGGCAGCATCAGAGGAGCAGGAAAGCTGATGTTTTGGGTCAGGACCCTTCTTCAGAAATGGGGGAGGGGAAGGGGGCTCTGAAATAAACAGAGAGAGGAGGGGATAGGGCTGGGGAAGGTAGGTGGGATGGTGATAGGTGAGTGCAGGTCAGCAGTGGTGCGGATTAGTTAGTGAGGTGGAAGGAGTGGATAGGTGGGAGAAAAGACAGATAGGCTGTGTCATGTCAAGGAGGCGGGGATGAGAGGGAGGGTTGGTCATGGAATGAGGTCAGGGTTTGGGGAGATCTTGAAGCTGGTAAAGTCCACATTTAGACCATTGGGTTGTAGGCTCCCAAGGCAGAATATGAGGTGTTGCTCCGCCAGTTTCTGAGTGGTGTCATTGTGACACTGGAGGAGGCCCAAGATGGACATGTCGTCCAGGGAGTGGGAGGGGGAGTTGAAATGGTTTGCGACTGGAAGGTGTTGTCATTTGTCGTGAACTGAGCGTAGGTGCTCTACAAAGTGGTCTCCAAGCCTCCGCTTGGTCTTACCAATACAGAGGAGGCCACATTGGGAGCAGCGGATGCAGTACACCACATTAGTGGATGTGCAGGTGAACGTTTGTCTGATGTGGAAGGTTTTTTTGGTTCCTTGGATGGAGGTGAGGGGGGAGTTGTAGGGGCAGGTGTAGCACTTCCTGCGGTTGCAGGGAAAGATGCTGGGGCTAGTGAGGAGTGTGGAGCGGATGAGGGAGTCGTGGAGAGCGCGGTCCCTACAAAAGGCAGATAGGGGTGGGGAGGGAAATATATCTTAGGTTTTGGGGTCGGATTGCAGGTGGCGGAAGTGGCGGAGAATGATATGTTGAATTTGGAGGTTAGTGGGGTGATACATGAGGACAAGGAGGATTCTGTCTTTGTTTTTGTTGCGGGGAGGGGGTGTGAGGGCAGAGCTGTAGTAAACACAAGAGATGCGGTTGAGAGCATTTTCGACCACTAAGGGGGAAGTTGCAGTCCTTGAAATAAGAGGACATCTGGAATGTTCAGGAGTGGAACGCCTCATCTTGGGAGCAGATGCGGTGGAGGCAGAGGAATTGGGAGTAGGGGATCACATTGTTGCAGGATGGTGGGTGAGAGGTGGTGTGGTCTAGGTAGCTGTGGGAGTCAGTGGGCTTGAAATAGACATCAGTTTCGAGGCGGTCACCAGAGATGGAACAAAGAGGTCCAGGAAGGAGAGGGAGGTATCAGAGATGGTCCGGTGAACTTGAGGTTGGGGTGAAAGGTTTTAGTAAAGTTGATGAACTGTTCAAGCTTCTCGTGGGAGCACGAGGCAGCGCTGACAGTCATCGATGTAGTGGAGGAAGAGTGGGGGATAGCCAGTGTAGCTGCGGAAGAGGGACTGTTCCAAGTATCCTACAAAGAGGCAGGCATAGCTTGGGCCCATGCGGGTTCCCATGGCCATCCCCTTAGTCTGTAGGAAGTGGGAGGAGAAGTTGTTAAGGGTAAGGAGGAGTTCAGTTAGGTGGATAGGGGGGACTGGTTGGGCCTGCGGGAGATGAAGAAGCGGAGGGCTTTTAGGCCATCTGCACGGGGAATGCAAGTGTACAGGGATTGGATGTCTCTATTTATTTCAGAGCTCCCTTCCCCCCCCCCCCATTTCTGAAGAAGGGTCCCGGCTCGAAATGTCAGTTTTCCTGCTCCTCTGATGCTGCCTGCCCTGCTGTGTTCCTCCAGCTCCACACTGTATTATCTCTAATCTATCCAATCGCTCTTCACAACTCAAAATCTCCAGCCCTGGCAACATTCTGGTAACTCTCCCCTGCACCCTTTTCAGTGCAATCTTATAATATGCATTCCAGACATATACCATACAACACTCTGTCGCTCCCTTGACTGGTCACCCTTGGCAAACATGAAAGACTGCCTAATTTCCTGGCAAGTCTCTGTTTGGCTGGTGCTGTTATGGATATGTTGTCCCAGTCGAATTCGTGTCCTTCTTTGTCCGTATGTACTGAGACCAGTGAGAATTGGTCGTGTCTCTAGGTGTTCATGTATCCTTACTGTCAGTTTTCTTCCAGTTTGGCTTCCACACAGACAAAGAACACAAATTTGACTGGGACAACACATCCATAATAGCACAAGCCAAACAGACATGCCTGGGAATTCCTGGAGGCCTGGCAATCCAACTGGAACTCCATCAACAAACACATTGAACTAGATCCGATGTACAAACCACTGAAAAACAAAACCAGAAGTGATGCCAACCACCCCAGCAAACCGAGGCATATAAATAACAAGCGGGACAGAACACTGACGCTTCACTGGAGGCGCAATGACGATGTTACCTAGCAGCGTGACGAAACGTCTGCAATCAAACATGCCGGCTCAGCGAGCATGTCTACAACCTCAAGATCTGACCACACAGCCTGAAAATATATTCAATGATGGAACATCCACAACCCTACCAATGGGGTAGAGAATTCCATAAATTCACAGCTCTGAGTGAAGTTATTTCTCCTTATCTCCACCTTTAAAGGGGAGACTCCTCATTTCAAACTATTTCTAGTGCCTTTTATTAAGTAACATTTAACCATCCAATCAAATTCCCTCAGGATCTCAAATGTTTCAGAAAACTCTCATTTTTCGAAGTTCCAGTGGATACAGATCCAAACTGTCCAATCTTCCCCTGCAAGGTAACCCAAGTTTATGTTTTCCCAGCTAATGTGGTGGGATTTGAAATTGTAGCACTAACCTGGCCTCACTTCCTAAAGGAGTGACATCACCACAACATCAATGACTCTATTTACAGCAAGAATTATTGTCAGCAAATGTTTTACATTTTTCAAAACATTGAGAACTACACTAATGTAGTTACTTGAAGAACAGAAAAGGGTTCCTTTCCCTCCCCTCTACCCAAAATTAAAGAAGTATGTGTAACCAGTTCACTACATTCTTTGTTTTACTTCATACATTGCTGTCCTTCGGAGTCTTCTTTAAGTTCAGTACTTTCTTCAGTGCTCGTGCGCTAAATTTCTTTCTCTTTACAAGGAATTCTTTCTCTGAATCAGCAATGTCAAAATTCAGGCGCACATCAAGATCTTCATAGCTGTGCAACAAAAATATTCACAGTCAAACCCAATCTGTTCAGTGAGAAAGTATTAATCAGTTTAGCCCACTGAACTAACGGGTTAAGACTGACCTGAAAGCAATGGTCAGATTAAATAATAAACTTAAATAAAAGACATTCCAGTGTATACATTTCAGAGAGTGCTAATTACCGAACAAGTTTTGCAGAAGAGAATGTTTATGAATAGATACAGGCAGAATCTACCTTTGTTGAATTAGTAAAGAAAGGCTTTGAAGAGAGAGACAATAGACAGGAAGAGGAGTAAGTGATTTAGGTCTTCAAGTCTTTTTAGCAATAACTTATATTCAGAAAGCACCTTCAGCAGAATGAAACATCCCAAACTCTCACAGACATTATAAAACAAACCTTTGACCCTAAGCTATGTAAGGAGACATTCGGTCAGATGGAGGGATACTGTTAAGGAGTGTCTTAAGGTGGAGACTGAGATAAGGAGACCAAGAGGTTTAAGGAGGGAATTCCTGAGTTTCGGGCCAATGCCGGTGAAGGCATGATTACCATTGGAGGAGCCACTAAAACTGAGAATGCTCGCAACAGGACAAAACTGGAGAAGTAAAGATATCTTGAAGGGTTCTAGGGCTGGAGGAAATCACAGAATCAGGAAAGGCCAAGCTATGGAGGGATTTTAAAACAAGGATGAGAATTTTAAAATGAAGGTTTTGGACAACTGGGAGAGAAGGCTACACCAAGTGCATGGTGTGTTGGATGAGTGGAGTATGGTGAGTTACAACACAGGCAGCAGAATTTAGAGAGGGTATAATGTTAAGGGTCAGCCAGGAGAGTGCTGGAATAGTCAAGTTTGGCAGTAGCAAACCGACAGAAGAGCTGAGGTGCATTGGATGAGTCAGCTGGGCAATGTTATAGAGGTGGAAACTCCTGGTCTTCACAATGGCGCAGTTATGTAGCTGAAAGCCAAAGTCAAGGTCAAAACTCTGTGGTTGCAAACAGTCTGGTACAGTCTCAGTCTTGGAGATGATTAGTTAGTGATAAAGAAGTAGGATTCATAACAGAGACAAGAGGCAATAGCTTCAGACTTCTCAATAATAAACTGGAGGAAATTTCTGATTATTCAGGACTGAGTGTAAGACAAGCAGTCTTGACAATCTAGAAACAGAGGATGGAGTAAGAGGAGATACTAATATAAAAGCTGACCGTTGTGTGTACACATAGAAACTGATGTATTTTCAGGATGTTGTTGCTGGGAGACACGTGTGGATGAGAAACTGGAGGAGCCAAGGATAGTTGCTTGCAGGACACAAGGGCTAATGAGAACGAGTGTGAGAATAGGAAGGGCAAGCATTAGAGGGGACTGGAAGCAGGCTGAATGCATTACTCAGCAAGTTGTATGATGTTAGAGAGCTATCAAGGAGAATATTGTGATCAATAGTGTTACACAGCGGGCAGGTCAAAAAGCAGGAAGATCAAAAGTCAAATAGGATTTATTCAGGTAAGAACCATTTAGATATTTTGCTAGAGGCAGTAATATGATTGGAGCAATTCAAACATGGAATTCCAAGAACAATGGGAATGGATCTGGAAGAAGAGAACACATTCAGCGATTGGAGAGAAAAGCAGGTTTGCAGATTGTACGGTAGTTTGCAAGGGGAGTGTTTCTTTTAAAAAGGGAAGAGGTGGTGACAGCAAACATCAGCTCTCCCTCCTGCACACCCCTCCAGCCACACATTCTTCTGGAATAACCACCTATTTCTATACTCACTAGCATGCAGCACCAGAAGTAATCTAGAAATTTTTTTTTATTCACTCATGGGACGTGAGCAATGCTGGCTGGCCAGCATTTTATTGCCTGTGCCTAGCTATCTTTGAGTAAGTGGTGATGGTGCTGAAGGCAAAGGATTATTAAGGCAGGTTCAAAAGAGAAAGGAACAGAACTTGAGCAGACAACAATCTCAGCTAAAATGCAAATCAGGAGGGAAGTTACATGATGAACAATTTTGTGGTAAAACAATCAAGACAGCAAGAGAGGATCTCCTGAACAAATCTCTTGAGACAAAGGGCACGAAAGAAGATACAAGTTCAGGGCTGGAGCAGAAGGGAGCTCTGGAGGAAGCTTGGCTGAGTGGGCTACAAGTGGAAGGGAGATGGCAGAGGCAGCTGATTGGATACTGTCAGTGAAAAATAAATCCTTGCACTTAAACAGTTGGAGGTGAAGCTGTGGCCATCCTCTTTTCTAACAGATATACTCTTTTTCATTTTGCTGGGGAGAAGACTGCAGAGAAGAAAGTAGTGAGAGCCAACTTCACTGGCAGCATGGGTGGGTCTGCTGCATAAGAAGGGAGGAAGGGCTACAATGGTAGGGGGTTAAAACGTAAGGAGAACAAACAGGCATTTCCGCGGCTGCAGAAGACGCTCCAGGATGTTATGTTGCCTCCCTGGTGCCAAGGTCAGGGACGTCACTGGCGCAAGATATTCTGAAAGGGCAGGGCAAATGGACAGAAATTATAGTATATATGGGCACAGTGGCTCAATGGGTTAGCACTGCTGCATCAGGTTCGATTCCAGCCTTGGGTGACTGCCTGTGTGGAGTACACACGTTCTCCCCATGTCTGTGTGGGTTTCCTCCAGGTGCTCCAGTTTCTTCCCACAGTCCAAAGATGTGCACTTTAGGTGGTTTGGCCATGCTAAGTTGTCCTGTAATATCCAGGGATGTGCAGTCGAGGTGGGTTAGCCACGGGAAATGTGGGGTTATGGAGGTATGGTGGAGGAGCTGGGTCTGGGTCAGATGCTCTTCAGAGGGTTAGTGCAGCCTCAAATGGCTGAATGGCCTCTTTCCACACAGTAGGGATTCTATGATTCTATATTGGCACCAGTGACATAGGCAGAAAAAGAGATGAGGTCCTGAAAACAGAATTTATAGAGTGAACAACGGGATCCACAAGGTAGTAGTCTTGTATTCAGGTCCAGTTGAGCTTCTGGCCCTTGGGATTACCACTGGACTCGCCACAAACACAGTGGCTTTCAGAGCTGGTCAAAGGCTAGGAATGTCACAGCAAATAACTCATCTCCCAACTCGACAAAGCCTGTCCACTATCTATAAAGCAAAAGTCAGGAATATCTTGGAATACTCCCCATTTGCCTGGATGAGTGCAGCTCCAACAACATTCAAAAAGCTTAACATCATCCAGGTCAAAGCAGCCTGCTTGATTGACATCATATCCAGAACCATTCATTCTGTCCACCATGACTCTCAGTAGCAGGAGTGGGTACTATCTACAAGATATACTTCAGAAATTCACCAAAGCTCCTTAGACAGCACCTTCCAAATCCACAACGACATCCACTTAGAAGGACAAGGGCAGTAGATACTTGGGAAATCCTCTCTCAGACACTCATTATTCTGTCTCAGAAGTATATTGCTGTTGTTTCACTAATTGCTGGGTCAAAATCCTGCAATCCCCTCCCTAAGGGGCATTGTGGGTCAACCTGCAGCACGAAGACTGCAGCGGTTCAAGGTGGCAGCTCACCACCACTTACTCAAAGATAGCTAGGCACAGGCAATAAAATTCTGGCCAGCCAGCATTGCTCACGTCTCATGAGTGAATAAAAAAAAATTTCTAGATTACTTCTGGTGCTATATGCTCGTGAGTATAGAAATAGGAGGTTACTCCAGAAGAATGTGTGGCTGGAGAGGTGTACAAGAGGGAGAGCTGATGTTTGTACAATGCAGACAGATCGCACCTGAACCAGAATGAGACCAGCATCCATACAGAGAGCTTTGCTAATGCTGTCGCGAGGGTTCAAACTTGGCAAGGAGGTGGGATCATGAGAGAAGGTTCAGCAGGTGGAGATGCATTGCCAAAATTAGAAGAGACAGCAAATAAGTCAGAAAGACACAGAAATTACAGGCCAGTTATGGCACAAGGGATTTTGCAAGGTGGATGGTATTTATTTCAGTGCAAGGAGTTTGATGAACAAAACAGATGAGTTGAGGGCACGAATTAAAAGATAGTGAGTGATGTCTTGCTGTCACTGGTTGAAAGGGAGAGCAGTGTTTTCAGTTCAATATTCCAGGAAACAGGGAAGATAGGGAATGACGAGGAGTAGGTGTCACAACATTGATCAGGGATTCAATTACAGCAGTTAGGAGGGATGGCATCTTAGAAGGCAGAGTTCTAAATGAATACTTAATGTCAGAATTCACCAATGAGATGGATTATGTGGGTATAGAGGTCAGGGCGCAAGGACTGATATACTTAAAGAAATTAGTAAAGACAGAGAGGAGTTTCTGAGTAATCTGGCAGGTTTTAAAGAAGATTAATCTCAAGAGCCAGATGAAATGTATACCAGGCTGTTGAATGAGACAAGGGAGGAAATTGCAGGGGCACTGGCAATAATTTTCAATTCCTCTCTGGATACAGGAGTCTCTCAGACAATTGGAGGACAGCCAACATGCTATCGTTATTCAAGAAGGGAGAAAGATAATGCAGGAAACTACAGGCCAGTCATTCTAACTTCAGTGGTGGGGAAACTATTGAAAGCAATTACGAGGGACAGAACTAATCTGCACTTGGAGAGACCAAGATTAATCAGGAATAGTCAGCATGGATTTGTTAAGGGAAGGTCATGTCTGTTCAACTTGATCGAATTTTTCAAAGAGGTGACCAGGTGTTTAGGTGAAGACAAAGCATTCAACGTAGTCTACTTGGACTTCAGCAAGGCTTTTGATAAAGTCTTGCATGAGAGACTCAATTTATAGCCAAATAACAATCTGCCTTCCTCTTTTTGCAAACAAAGTGGATAACCTCATTTTTATTCATATTATACTGCATCTGCCCATTCACTCAGCCTGTCTGACTCACACTGCAACATCTCTGCATTCTCCTCACTTTGTGTCGTCTGCACATTTTGAGATATTACGTTTAGAGTTCCCTCATCAAGCAGCAACATACTGTGAAAAGTTGAGGTCCTAACGCTGATCCCTGTGAGGCCCCACTAATTACTGCCTGCCATTCAGAAAAAGACCGATCTTTTCCTATTGTTTCCTGTCTGCTAATTAGTTTTCTATGCATCTCAATACATTAGCCCAATTCCACACGTTTTAAACTGTAATCTTGAGATTTTGTCAACAGCCTTTTGAAAGTCCAAATAAAACACAACCACCGACTCTCCCGACCAACTCTACTAGTTACATCCTCGAAGAATTCCAGTAGATTGGACAAGCATGATTTCCGTTTTGTAAATCCAAGCTGACTGTGTCGGATCCTACCATTAAGTGCTTTGCTATAAAATTCTTGATAATGGACTCTAGCAACTTTCCCACTACCAATGTCAGACCTACTGGTCTATAATTCCCTGTATTTTCTCTATATCCCTTCCTAAATAGTGGGGCTACGTGAGCCACCCTCCCTTCAATCTGTAGGAGTTGCTCCAGAATCAAAATTATTTTGGAAGATGACCATCAATGCATCCACTATTTCTGGGGCCACTTCCTTAAATTCTCTGGTATGTAGATTATCAGGCCCTGGGATTTATCAGCCTTCAATCCCATCAATTTATCCACCAATACAAATTTAATTCAGTTCCTCATTCTCACTAAACCTGATTCCACAATGCTTTAAATTTACACAGTAATCTCGTGAGATTTGTCAAAAGCCTTTTGAAAGTCCAAATAAACCACAACCACTGACTCCCCGATCAACTCTACTAGTTACATCCTCAAAGAATTCCAGTAGATTGGTCTACTTGTCTGCAAGTTTGTCTGCACATCCCTGGACATTATAGGGCAATTTAGCATGGCCAATCTACCCAACCTGTGCATCTTTGGACTGTGGGAGGAAACAGGAGCACCTGGCAGAAACCCACACAGACACGGGGAAAGTATGCATACGCCACGCCACACAGACAGTCACCCAAGGCTGGAATCAAACCTGGGTCTCTACCGCTGAGATGCAGCAGTGCTAACCAACTGAGCCATCGTGCCATATATACTATGATCTCTGTCCGTTTGCCGTCCCTCCTCAGAATACTTTGCGCCAGTGATTTCCCTGACCAGGGAGGCAACATACCATCCTGGGGTCTCTTCAATTCAGTTCCTCATTCTCACTTAAACCCAATGTTCTTCATTATTTCTAATATGTTATTCCTGTTCTCCTTTGTGAAGTTAGAACAGAGGTATGAATTTAATTAGTTTGTCAGCCATTTTGTTTCCAGTTATAAAAATTGGTAAGTGTCTTTGTGGACTTGCTGAATTTCCTTGGCCGCCTGACGAAGTAGAGGCATTGTTGTGCTTTCTTGCCCATCACCTCCACCTTGGAGTGGACCATGACAGATTGATGACAGTCCATCACTCCCAGGAACTTGACACTCTCGACCATCTCCACCTCAGCACCATTGATGCAGATAGGGATGTGCCCTCCAATTCGTTTCCTGAAGCCAATGACCAGTGCTTCTGTTTTGTTGATCTTGATGGGGAGATTGTTGTTTTTGCATCATGCTGCTAAGCTCTCAATCTCTTTCCTGTATTCTGTCTCATCACTGTTTGAGATCCAACCTACAACTATGATGTCGGTCAGCAAACTTGTAAATGGAGTTGGGGGTGGGGTGCGGAGTTTGGCCACACAGTCATGAGCATATAAGGAGTACAGCAGGGGGCTGAGTACGCAGCCTTGCAGGACACTGGCGTTGAGGATTATGGTGGAGGAAGCGTTGGCGCCTATTACTGATTGCAGTCTATGGGTCAGGAAGTTGAGGATCCAGTTACAGAGGGAGGAGCTGAGACCTAGGTCGCAGAGCTTAGAGATGAGATTGTTTGCAATTATGGTGTTGAAGGCAGAATAAGCGTTCACTATGTAGAGGCCTGACGTGGGGATCCTTTTATCCAGATGTTCCAGGGATGAGTATAGGGCCAGGGAGATGGTGTCCGCTGAGGACCTGTTGCGCTGATGGGCAAATTGTGAAGTATCAAGGCAATTCAGTAGGCTGGAGTTGATGTAAGCCATGACTAACCTCTCAGAGCACTTCATAATTATGGAGATCAGAGCCACTGGCCAGTAGCCATTGAGGCTGCTTGACTTTTCTTTGGCACCGGGTTGATGGTAGTCTTCTTGAAACAGGTGGGGACTTCCAATCATAGTAAGGGGAGGTTAAAGATGTCTGCGAACTTTCCCGCCAGCTGGTCTGCATGGGATTTGAGCGCACAGCTGGGGAGACTCCACCCGGGCCAGTTGCTTTTCACGGATTCACTCTCAAGAAGACCGATCTAATGACTGCGGTGGTGACCGGGGTACTGGGATAGGTGACATCGTTTCACTGACCTTCTGTTCAAAGTGGGTGTAGAATGCATTGAGCTTGTTGCGTAGGGATGTATTGTTGCCTGTGATTCTGTTTGACTTCACTTTGTAGCCCAATATGTTGTGTAAGCCTTGCCAAAAACGACAGATGTCTGTATGGTTGGTCTGCGTCTCAAGCTTAGTTTGGTATTGCCTCTTGTCATCTCGGTTAGCCTTATGAAAGCTGTGTGTGGATTTCAGGGTGGCCAGACTTTAACTTTAATAGGGAGTACATCTCCCAATTCATCCATGGTTTCCAGGTGGGGAACATTTGGATTAACTTCTTCAGCATGCAGTCTTCTCCACACTTACTAATGAAGTCTGTGACAGGGTTCAAGAAGGCAGCTCACCACCATCTTCTCAATCACAACTAAGGATGGGCAATAAACACTGGCTAGTCAGTGATGTTCACATCTCACAAGTGCATTAAAAAAAAACTCCACCAGCACATTTTTCAGCCCTTGGAAGCAAAAACAGTATTCACCCAGCTGGAACATCATTTTTCAAGTAGCTCTTCACAAGTATAAGAGAAATAGTAAAAACTGAGGTTTATATACACATATCTAATGTATGAAGTTAATGGAACAGAAGTCAGAGATTAAAATGAACTCACCATTTCTTAGCCTTCAGTCTCAGGTCAACACTCTGATCCTAAGAGAGATCATGAGGAGGCAAAGTTACTTCTGCTAACCAATGCAAGCTCCCAGAACTGACTTAGTCCCCTCAGAGTTTAATTGTTGCTTAAACACGTCTACTATCAGCAACGCTTCCCGAACGTCTAGCACTGAAAAAGCAAGGGTTGAAAAGATCATATATTCTGTGGACCTGCTGGGGGAGGTAATATCGTTACAATATCATTATCATTCAAGTTTCCAGTGATGAATAATGGAAATGCAAGGATAAATAAATTTCTCTTGCATGTTACAGGCAAAAACCATGATGTACAAATAGCTCATGGTCTGTGAAAATTTTATCCAAAAAAACTGCAAATTCTCTTTTTTGCTTTTTCAAGTATCATGCTTTCTTCTAAAAGGCCTCTATTTGTTGCTTCTTTCCTCCATGTGGTTGGAAGGGATGCATTTTAGTTCTATTCTTTCTTGCACCACATACCATTCCCCAGTCAACAAGCTGGATGCAAGATTTATGACAAATACTAAAATCTAACAGGGCATGCAGGGAACAAGTGAGCTTGTTTTTTTCAGCTTTTTCCTTGAGGGAAATGTTTGGTCTCCACCCCCATTTCCCTCCGAGATACAGAATCAGGATATCCTTGCATTGGCAAATTTGACAGTTTGAAGTAGCACTGTAACAGTAAACACCAAAGCCTCGTTATGGGCTTGTATTCATAAAGTTGTTGCTGATGTGTTCACTTTAACAGGTCAGTTACAAATTGTAGCAACAGTCAAAATAGTTATGAAAACTTCAAATTGCTCACTCATAATAGTGGACAAATGGTCTTGGGAAGTGTGATCCAGTTTACTTTGATTCAGAAGGCATAATATTCAGTTTTTCATGAAGTGTCAAACTGAAGTTAAGGCCACTGCATTAATGATTGCATAACGTTTTAACCACTTCATATCTTCTTCTAGTTATTGTCAATCAGCCTGCTTGGACATGTTATGACATACTTTTGGGACAGGTGATACTAGAACACAGACTTCGGACTTAGAGGTAGAGATACTACCATTGCACCACAGGACCCTCACAACCTCTTTTCTATGCTTCGTAGAGTCAAAACGTGCCCTTTCCCTCAGTCAGGGATAATTTCTCTCCTGTGAAACCAAAGACAGACCCAATCTCCAACAAGACTGGAATCATTAAGCTTTATGGTGTAGAGTGGGGGATAGTGGGCGGGGCATTTAGCTGTGCCAGCTCTTTGAAAGTGTTTTCCAATTTACATTAGCGGCTATGGGATTTAAAAATAAAACTAAAAACAACATGGCTACCTTAGATAACAAGGTGTAGATCTGGATGAACACAGCAGGCCAAGCAGCATCAGAGGAGCAGGAAGGCTGACGTTTCGGGCCTAGACCCTTCTTCAGAAAATTTTCATTTCACTTTTGGCTAAAATAGTCTGGCCTCCTTTTTATTTT